ACATCATATGCCAACAAAGGGCCCTCTTACCATCATCTACAAATAAAAAACAATGAGGATAATAAATGTAAAATAAATAAAGTAAATGGAGTAAACTATTTAGGAATTTACATAGATGCACAGCTCGGGTGGGATATGCATATAACGTATGTCGCGAAAAAGTTGCAATCCGTTCTATATCGAATAAGAATAACTAAAAACATACTAGAGTATTGTCAATTAAAAATACTACATCATGCATTGGCAGAATCTCACATAAGTTATGGTATAATAGCATGGGTTCAGCAAACATAACTCATATATTCAAATTAGAAATAACTCAAAAAAGTATTTTAAAGACAATATCTCATAAACCACTACTGTATCCAACTGACCATCTCTATAATGAAACTGGTATATTAGACGTAAGGCAATTATACCTAATAAAAGTGTTGATAGTGCAACACATATCCCGTCCTCCCAACCAAGAGCTGTTATATTCTTACCAAACAAGAAACAGGAATTATTTAAAGGTGGCAAAACCAGAAAACAATATATTGCACAGATCGTATTCTTACCTAGGACCAAGATGTTATCATCTTCTTTCACAAGACCTGAAGACGATACGTTCCAAATATGCATTTAAAAGGAAAGAAAAAGACTGGATAACATCTATCCCCAGACAGAGAATTGACGAAATCGTTGACTTAAACAGATTACACTTAACATGAAAACCAATTACTGGGCTAAAGTTACCGAATTAGACAATGTACCCTATACCCAACACTACCGATTTAGACAATATACCCCTGCTATACTTATTTACCGATTTTGACAACATACTCGATATATCCCACAAACGGAGACCAGAAAACAACAACACTAATAACCCACTAACTTTTTGTCCTAAAATAAGACATTTCGGCTTAAAAAGGATGTAAAATCCTATTTAATGTTGTTATTGTTCTTTTCTTAGAAAATCACGTGTGTCTTTTTATTTCTAGTTTAAGTATTACGTAATTATTCATAAGCTAATGCATACCCGCGTACAAGGGTGGCCTTCTGCGGGTTTTCTACCAAATTGATAATAACTTGCAATTAGAGTTAAAAATTTGAAAATGGCAGTTGGTTAGCTTTTGAATGGAAAGGGAAGTCATGTGATCCACATGTTGGCGCTCCTTATGCATTCTCCATGACCTCAGAATACAAATTCACTATCTTTTACAATGGAAAACTGACAGACTATAGTTAAAATCACGAAAGATGACTATTACGTCATACCATGAATTGTACTGAAGTAATCAATGAACGTACGTCGATGATAAAATCACGATATCAGGAACATAATGACAACAAAATATTATGATTTTGCGAAGTTAGCTTATTTCATTTATTTTATTTTTATTTTCATTTTATTTCATGGTTTTGAGTTATACCTTAATAATAATCTTAGTGGGGAGTTTTTGTTTTGAAAATAACAGTTATGAGTAGAATACCTTAAGACAGGCACTCCACAGATCAAAGTATTATTTGAAAACAACCTAACCTGCTTTAACATAACCTAGCTATTCATCTTTCAAATATGATCGATCATGCAACATTAAAACATCGTCTATCTCTGTCGGATACATGCAAATTAGCAATATAGTTTGTTTAGACAATAACATTCTGTTTGTCTCTGTCTAACATATCTGAAACTTCATTAACCCTGGAACTGCACACTTATTTTTTATCCTATAAACTGCACACTGGGGTCTGAGAAACCCAAGTATTTTTGTTGGATGTTATGTACCCTCATTATTATATTTTTACTTTTTATGTCAAAATACATCAGATAATTCGTAGAAGAAAATATTTTAATAATATTTTGTTCATTGGGTTCAACCTTAATTGTATTAGAACAAAGAATATTACAAATCAGTATACAATTGCACATTAACTGAAGGTAATCAATAAAAATGCAACAAAAAACTTTTAAAAAGCTAAATACATTTTTATTGTCTAAAAAGTCATTATAGAACATAAAAAAAGTTGAAAAATCAAAATACACCTCAATAAATTTCTTAGTCATGAAACTCAGTTTGTGTCTTCACATTGGCAGCAAAGTTTAGCCCTGTGCTCTAAACAATATGGTTTGTAGCATTTAGAACATCCAAAGTTAGTTTTTCTGTCTTTACCACGCAAATCTGTTGCTGGATGCTGTCTTTGTGGCGCATCCATTCCTAGAATTTCACTAATGCTAGGCCGAAGATATGATCGCAGCGTGGTCACTTGTGCCCGCTCTCGTAAATGTGGCTCAATTAATGAATAACTTAGTTCTTTGAGAAACGTTTTACGATTATTTTGAGTATTTTCTTTCCAGTCTGGATTCACAAGAGAGAATATAATCAAAGCATTACATCCACTGGCATCCAACATATTGAAAAATATTCTCACGGGCCACCTTCTAGTTTTGCGTAATGTCGTGTAAGAATGACATAACTGGTCAAAACTATCCGTTCCTCCCTTTGTTTCATTATATGAATGTATCAGGTTTGGCTTTCCAGTATCAACATTAATGGATGAATCAGGATGCAAAGTGGATAGTAAAAGCACAACTTTATTTCGCTTAGGCGTATACGAAACAAGCGTTTTGTTGTGATCAAAAGCAAAAAGGGACGTGCCAACTGCTTTTCTTCTTAAGAAGCTTGTGGGTATCTCTCATTTGTTTTTTCGCAGTGTTCCTAGGATTGTTAATTTATACTGATGGAACATTTCCTCACATAGAGGTATACAGGGTTATCCAAATTAAGTGTCCACCATTAGTAACTTTGTTATTAGTGAAAATACAAAGTTGTTTGAATTAGCAAACTAGTAGCATTTTTAAGCTGGTAAAAATGAGAAATAAAAAAAACAATTGAGAGTCGTTATTTTGATATTTTTCAGTAAAATAACATTTTTTTAAATGGAAACCCCTGTATATTATATTTTTTTCTGTTAAAGCATCAAATTTTAAACAAAAAAGTTCATAATGACTTTTCCGCTAAAGTCAAAAATAAAGTCAAAATAACGATAAATATTTTTAATTATTTGCAGTATTATAATATTAAGACGGCTATGAAAACAACATGGCGTTCGCGATTTGACAGCATTAAGATAAGCGACAAATTGTTAAACTGGACATACTCGCAACTAGAAGGCTTTGGAAAACAATGATAAAATCAAATAATGTCAAACATTAGTGTAAATACTTGTTTATAAGCTTTATTGTGTCATTAATTTAAAGAAAAATGTTCTCCCATGAAGAAAAGTGTGATATGTTAGAATGCTATTTAGTGTGCAGAAAATCCTCCTTGAGAGCAAGATTATATCCCGCTCGCATTCAACCGTATGAACGATATTTTCTGAGACTTTATCGAAAATTTAGGGGCAACGAAAACGTTTTTGCTAAAACAAGGGCAAAAAAAGAATTCATAATAAGCGAGGCCACGGAAATTGCAGTTATTGGATATTTTGAAGCTTATCGTGACAATTCAATAGCAGATATTCTCAAGGACTCTAATTTCAGTTATGGTACTGTTCAAAGGATTTTAAAAAAATACAAATTTATTCCGTATAAGTACCGACCAGTTCAAACGCTTTTGGCAGGGGATCCAGAGAGAAGACTTGTTTTTTGCCATTGGTATCTTAGCTTCTGTCACCAAAATGTAAATAACTTTCGTTACCTTTTATGGACAGGTGAATCAAATTTTTCAAATTCTGGAATGTTTAATAGAAAAAACCACCATTATTGGTCAAGAGAAAATCTTTTGTTAGTACATCCAAGAGGCCCACAAGTCCGTTTCAGTTTCAACGTTTGGTGCGGTATAATTGGTTCAAAAATTGTTGGCCCGTTCTTTTATGAGGGAACCCTAACTGGTGAAAGATATGTGGAATTTATGTCAGAAATTCTGACTAATTTCTTAGACAAATTGGATCTTATAAGTAGACATCATCTGCATTTTCAGCAAGATGGCGCACCTGCCCACAACTCCAGAGGTACTTATCATTTTCTAAGTACTACTTTTAATGATCAGTGGATAGGAACAAATGGCCCAATACAGTGGCCTCCCAGATCACGAGATCTAAACCCACTTGATTACTTCTTGTGGGGTTACTTAAAGAACCAAATTTACAAGCGAAGGTACGATAACCTTGATGCGTTAAAGACTGCAGTTAGGGAAAAGATAACCCAGATAGATGGTAGGACCATACTTAAGACAGTTCGAGCAGTTGAAAAACGTGCCCAAAAATGTATTGAAGAACAAGGTGGTGTTTTCGAGCATCTTCTTTAAAAAAAATTGTTATTGTATTTTGTAAGATTATAAGTTGATGTTGAAAATAAAGTTTGTCGATACAATTTAATTGTTTCAGATTGGAGGCCATAACTTCAACAATTTGTAACCTAGGAGAAAAGTTATTGAAAGCTTTTTTGTTTAAAATTTGATGCTTTAACAGAAAAAAATATAATATACAGGGGTTTCCATTTAAAAAAATGTTATTTTACTGAAAAAAATCAAAATAACGACTCTCAATTGTTTTTTTTTATTTCTCATTTTTACCAGCGTTAAAAATGCTACTAGTTTGCTAATTCAAACAACTTTGTATTTTCACTAATAACAGAGTTACTAATGGTGGACACTTAATTTGGATAACCCTGTAGAGCTGAACCAGTTGTCTATGATTATATTACGGTGGGTTCCATGAATTGGTTCTGAGAGTTTCCGAACATAATAAGTAGGTACTGGCTCATTATTCTCTACATTAACTTTTCCCACATATGGAATTGCATTAACCACATAAGAAGTTTTAGAGCCGTTCATCATCATTATTTTCATACCATATTTATCGGGTTTACTAGACATGTATATTCTGAATGGACATTTTCCCCGAAAACTGACAAGTTGCTCATCCACTGTGCAATTTTCATAGGGAGTGTAATACGACTTACAGTTTTCAATAAAAATTTCCCAAAGCTGTCGGATATGTGTAAATTTATCTACTAATTTTCTTGCAGCCCTACCATTCTTATCATCGAATCGTAAACAGAGAGCTAGAAACTGAAATCTCTGTTGAGACATTGTAGCTCGAAATAATCCATTTCCGTACTTTATTGACCATAATTCATCTAAATTCGTATTTGATAGTCGAAGGGCCCCTGCTAAATAGAGAAGCCCAATAAAAGCTTTAATCTCTACAAGGTTAGTTGGCTTTTTATAACCTTGTGGCAAGTTTTCAAAACACTTACGCACAATTTCTTGATTTGTGTGTAATACAATTATATCTAACATTTCTTGGTTAAATAATAACTCCCATGCTTCTATTGGAGAGCGAACTAATCTCGCCTGTTGTTTAGGACCGGGCATATGTAAAACAATATTGTCTCTCATTGTGCGGCCTCTGCGTTCTGGTATTTTGGTACTCCAGCGATGACCGTTTTTGCCCATTATACTAGCAGTGTTCCTGCTCGATATACCAGGATTCTGTAACACAACTTCATCACCATCATCACTCTGTTCATTGTCAGTATCAGACTGTTGTTCATCGACATAATCTTCGTCCCTGTCAGATAATTTACCAAACAAGTCTTCGTCACTATCTGCCTCATCTTCATTTTGCCACACATTGTCGACCTCATTTTGTAACTCACGTTGCGTTAAGGGACGACGATTTTCCCAGTCAGAATTTACCATAGCTATAAAATACAAAATAAATATTATCAACGTAAACCACACACTGGGGTCTGCCGTACCCATTCACCGATGTTAGTCAATATTCGGACGGGATAGATAGCACAAATAACAGCCAACGTCTACGCACTGTCTCTCCTCACTACAGACTGAATTTACACCGAACTATCCAGCCGAACTATTTACGTTTCTTCGAAGCACTTACAAGAGAGGGGATACCTGGGTTTCTCGGACTCCAGTGTGCAGTTCCAGGGTTAAAAATAATCACAAATCGCTGTCGTTTGTCTTTTCTACAGACTAAAATGATTACGTAATCGTCATCTTTCGTGATTTCGACTATATCAAAGGCGTTTTTGTACATAGAATCGCATATAAATCAATAAATACCCAACGCTTCAATATAATAAGCCGTTCTACTTCTCTTGCCATTGTTAAGCGGATGTCCATTATTCTCATCAATGTTCAAGCAATATCCTCATTTATCGTCCGGACTGGTTATTAATAATAGCGGCCAAGGAGTGCTGGGCATCATTGAGATTAGTATAAGTAATGAAAAAGAAAACCATGGCGATACCCTTAAGCTTTGGATAGTAGAATTTAGTTCAAATCAACGCAACTGATAGCGCCTTTGGAATCAACATTATCCAAGTTATGTGGGTATTAATGTTATTATAGCTAGAGACTGTCTGTCTAAGCATGATAACATTTTATCGTAGTCCGCCAATAAGCTGCAATTTACTATTAACTTAACTGTCCGACTTAGCATTCCAGTATAGAACGTGGTTGAACCTCTTCTGAAGGACGGAAACGCGACACTCCAACTGAGAGAGTCTCGAAAGATGTCAGGTATCCACAAGATTCGAATCTGTACTCATTGTTTGTACCGCTGCGTATGAAAGGTCCCTATGACTGTCATGTCTCAATTTGCACCTGTATATACCTTAAAATTTTATCCGAAAGCTAAACGTTTCACGTCGTTTCCTCTAACCTAGAGCCAACTGCGGTTAACAAGTTGAATGCAAGACGGAGAAATTTTCCCTGATGCTTCGGAATTTCCATCAATTTCCAACGATCCCCTTTTAAATCGGACATCAAAGGAATCTATCATCGTCTTTTTCGTTGAGGCTCGCGTCCAAGATCATTTTTTGACTGGGAAAGGTATTTCTAAGGTAAGAACGAATTTATCGAGAAAATTCAGGAGTTTCATACACATCATTGCATTTTTATACGTATGTCAGTAAGGATATGAAGCAGTGATGATATGGAATGCTACAGGAAAGACAATAAGTTCCCGTGGCTATGCAGAATAGGTTTTTGTCTCATACCACTACCTCCATGAAAAATTGAGATCAGCAAGAAAATGGATTATACAGGGTGTTCCTTAATGATATGTGAATGTTTGACGGTGTGAATCTACATAAAAAATTAATGTTAGTTTGCTTTATCAACTATGGTCCAAAAATGTTTCCTTACAAAAGTTTTAGGAAAAAAATGGAAATTAATCAATATTTCCACAACCGCTTCAGATATTTCACTGATATTCAGTAAGTAGTAAAATTTAATAAGGTTGCATATTTTTCAATGCAAAAATATTTTTTAACTTTAACAGTGGCGTGCGTATGGGTATTGACTTCGATATTTGTTGATAAAAAAATGGTACGACGATGGTTTTTTGCCAAATAAAAATTATTTTTGAATTCCGAGTTCAATTCTAAACAAATGATCTCTGTTGAGTTGCTTTCCTTCAATGCACCATTTTTGAGAAAAAATAAAAACCCTTCTATTGTCTAACTTGCAAAATTATTATTAATTTAATTGGAAAATTTAAGCACATTAGGGGTAATGAACAACAACAACTGACAACATAGACATAACACTAAAACCAGCAAAATGATTACCAAAATTGTTGAAAATGGCCCCCTTCACTTAATATGCATGCTTCCGCCCTCCTTCTCATGGAACTGCGCACTCGTTGAAATATCCCTGGAGTGTTTTTTATTCTAACACAAGCGGCAACTATTCTTTCCCTCAATTTCTCTACAGTGTTAATGGGACTGGTGTACACTAGTGTCTTAAAATAGCCCCACAAAAAGAAATCTAAACTGTTGAGGTCTGGGGACTTTGGTGGCCAATCTTGGGACCCATCGCAACCAATCCAACGATTTGGATAAACAGTTTGTAAATAATTACGAACCGTCACCTTTAAATGCGCTGATGCACCATCATGCATGTACCACATATTGAACATCATCAAGCTGCAAAGGCAACTGTTGTTGAAGAAAATTGAGGTAAGTCTGTCCGTCAAGTCGTCCCGGCAAGAAGAATGGGCCAATGAATTGATTAATTCCTGCCCATACGTAAACCGAAAATTGGTGTTGGAAATGGGTTTCGGTTACGGCATAGGGATTTTCTTCTACCCAAAAATGATTATTGTGGAAATTCTGAATGGCATTTCGAGAAAAATTACCTTCGTCCATGAATAGAATCATTGATTCAAATTGCGGATTTTGTGTAATTTTTTCAAGATACCACTGACACTGGAAAATCAATGGAAAGTAATGCCGGTGCTCTTAAAATATGTTAAAGATATAACAAAAAATCCACTAAAATTCTCCAAACAATTTGATGGCAAATATTTAAGTGTCTAGCGATCTCCCTCGAACCCGTTTCTGGATGTTCTTCGACTTCTTGCAGTACTGCTTCCTCAATGTCAGGTGTTCTCACACTTAGAGGTCTACCTTCAAATGTTCCTTTTCAGACAGAACAAGATGACGATGAATATTAGAAAAGGTTCGACTATCTGGCAAAGGACGATCGGGATATCTCTGGTGATGAATCCATCTGGCTTGCTTACCATTACCGTCGGCAAGGCCATATACGTAATGCATTTCCGCCATTTATACATTTGAATAATTCACCATTATTAACAGTTTTGACAAAATGAATAACACACAGCGAACAGATTTGAATAACAGAGACTTGTCAGATGTCAAAAGCCAGTGACATATTCCAGAGCAACTAGATATTCATTGCTAAATTGCATTCTTCAATTATTACATTAATTTTCTGGGACAATAGAGAGAGACTGTGAGTTTGTACCTTCAGGACCAGTAGAAAAGCTGTATTTTCAACTTTCAAAATTGAAATACTTTGGAACTGAATGGTACCAATATTCATTCTTAGGTAGTACTTGATGACTATAAATGTAGCCTCCCACGTCCAAAAATTCCAGCACAGACCCAGAAGTATTGTGCCATTTTTTTTGCTTTGTGACTAGATATGGATATGTGTGACACCTATCAATACGTATTTTACACATCAGGTTTCCCCCTATATTTGCCCTTATAACGTACAAAAAATATTTATAGACGAGACACGCGATTGTCGGACAATACGATGCAACCGCAACTTTCATATGCCTAACCCTTTTGCATCTGACAACATCGCCGGCAGTGCTGTAGTATCATGGCTGGCTCTTATGACGCATTTGGCTGGTTTGGTCCAGCAGTGTTGCCTGGTTTCCGATACTTGGAGTAGGGACTATGGAGCACGTACGTATGGGTCTGTTTTGCTGACTTGACCAATATAGCTTTTTTGCTTTACAGGTTTGTAGCTAGCTCACTTGGGCTGAACATAATCCTGATAAACTGATGACAGCGTTGAGTGTAAGTACCGAGTCAACCTACTTTACGCCATTTTTTTAATTAGTATTCCTAGAATGTCTCACTGCGACAGTGACGGGAATCTCACTAAGCCCTAACACGACGTACCCAAAGACTCAGAGGTCTCTGGTAGCACTATTATCTTACGGCTTAAAAAGTATTGATTTGATGTCTTGCGATTCATCTCATAATGTTGCATTATTCTAGTAAGGTTCCTCAACCTCACCTAAAGTACCCACTAGAGGTGATAAAATAATAGTAAAGTGCTGCCATAAAAAGGTCGTAAACAAGAAATAACAAGGTACTTGGAGAAGTAAGTGCATAGCAAAATTATTTATTAAGCGGATTGGGATAAGTTCATAGCTATTTCCGCTTCAGGACATCCTTTATTGTCTAGATAGTGTTTTTCGTACGAGACACAACTATTATATAAAAATGTTGTCGTAGTTAACGGAACTGGGAACGTCAAAATATCGTTTCTTACAAGTTCGCATAAAAAACATGAACTCAAGTTGTAAGAAAGGTTAAATTATATAAAAGCCTATTGCTCCTTATTTGCGCATAGCATTGACTACAGCCTTTGAGATGGACCATCTCCTGAGGTTGCGGAGAGGTGAATAGGAAACAAGAGATGGGCGGTACTTGGATGTAGAACAGCGCTACCTTATCACTATAGTTTTGTTGAAGAACACTTCCAAGTGCAGAGTTAAAGAACAAGTTCTGCGGGTTTTGACAGAGACAGCAGTACTGTAAGAAGGTACAATTACCACTCGTGCCATCTAAAGTTTATTATAGCCCATTGTATGGTACTCTATTGTCTGCCCGCTAAAACAAACCACACATGTGTCAATTACTGTTATGTTTCGGCGATAGCGGTAGCCGTCTTTAAGTACAATGGCTCCTGTCCCATGGGGAACAACTGCGAAATATATAGGTGTCACATTAGATAAAACTATGATTTGGAAAACTCATATTGGAAATTTAACCAAAAATACATTGATAGCGTTTCGGCACTTGTATCCGCTACTGAAGCGAAATTTAAAATTGAATCTCGTAAACAAAATTTGCCTTTATATTACGATTATACGTCCTGCTTTGACATCCGCATGTGAGGCTTGGTGCTTTGCCTCCAAGTCTCGTGTGCATACTCGGCAAATCATGCAAAACAAAATTCTCCGCACAATAGTATGTGCCCCATGGTACATCTTCAATGACACCATTCACAGAGATTTTCAAATACCTACGAGCTTTGAGAAGATCAAGTTACTGGCTACTATACTCCGGCTCAAGTACCTATGCAAAAAAGACCCCGTCTGGCTCTTTACATTATGAATCTGTTGGCA